GCACAGGGGAAGAGCTTCCTGTCCCAATGCAATCCGCACCTCCCACCATTTTCGTGTGTCAGACAAGCAGTTTGTCCGTGAGCATTGGTTGATTTCACAAGGCGATTCCACCCTGCGCCCCGTTCCTGAGCATGCGGTCTTCTGAGAGCGCTGCTTTTCGTCAGGCTCTTCCATCGTCTGGGACCTCGGCAGCAGAGTGCTGCAGGCATCCCCAGTAGTCGCAAAACACGGATTGCTGCCCAAGGCTCTGCCCTGACCGAGGCGTAGGCACAGCGAGAGGGGAACTGCCGGACCCGAGGAAGCACGTCAGCAACTGGGCCAACCTGAGGCAGTTTGAAACGCCTCACAGATCATCGTTGCAAGCGAAGTGCAGATCGCCGTCGTGGTCATTGCAGGCGCTGTCTCTGCAGAGCGGCATTTGTGGCAGCACAGCAGCAGTTGGAGGCGCGCCCTCCGTCGCCACCGGCTCCTGCCATCATGCTGAGAGTCGTGCGTCATGGCGGGGCAATGGCGATTTGCAGCGGGCATCACCAGCTCCGCGGATTGCTGAGGAGTACAGTGATGTATCGACTTAGACGGTGCGACAGGTGAATTCTGGGGACGTGCTTGTCCTGGAAAGGGCATCTCAAAGCTTGGATTCGATGCATAGCTTAATCCTGCTCGCCTGTAACATTGCTCCATCAGGAGCCGTGTCCTCGGCATCGCGTAGGCCTGCCAGCGATGGCTCCGCTTCGCAGGACCTGTGCTTGTGCTGCTGGCAGGCATGTCAGGGAATCCATCCTCTCCAGGCCTCTCCAGGGGGAGCTTGCGAACCTCGAGCCTTGACAAAAGCGAGCATTTAGGTGTGCGACATCCGGTGGACGGTATGCTTCGACTGCCAAGCGGCTCGTCATGGCTCTGCATCGGCCCCATGCACCTTGGTGACTTACTGGCTCTGCCCGCGTCCCTGGCGCTCCTATCTCAACTTTTCTAAGAAAGCATTTTCGGGAGCCTAGGATGGCCCAGAGGCAGAGAAGTGTTCTGAGCCCTTGCTTTTTGTAATTCTTATTGCTTGACTTGTTTGTCCTTTCTTCTTGCGGGTGGTGCTGCCGCCCGCCGCGGGGCCTGTGAAGGAAACTACCGGGCCAGCTACTGGGAAACTGCAAGTTCTCAGCGACACCTCTCTGCAGCTGGGCATCTCCACTGTTGGGAGGGTCTCCGCCTCGCTAGCCAAAGCGTCACACCCAGCTTCCTGGCACTCGCACACGGCACGAAGGTGAGATGGAGGAAGGAAATACCAAAACAATCTATGCCATGATGTTTTTCTTGACAGCAAAACTGTCCTCTTCGCACCGCAGAACGTGCTCAGAGGCAACCGTCCTCTCAGTGCACTGGTTGCGCCTGAGTTTCAACTGGCGGTTTCACGCGGCTCAGGTGGGCAAAAGGATTTGAGCGCTTTTCTGTGGTTGGAGCTTCTCTTGGCGCTGACCTGCTGCTTGATCGGAATTTTGGGTTGGCGGGTTAAAGCGCGCACTTCGCAACGAGAACCAGATAGACTTATGTTTCTTGTGATATGTTCTCCAGGCAAACGGCAAGGCCATATGTGGCAATGCATTCCAAACACGGAGCTGGAGTTCTGCAAGCGGCGAAAGCGGAGTCAAGCCCAAACATCGTCTTTAGATTCCTGCTGCAAACACATGTCAAGCCCATCAACCGGTCTCATTGCCCCGTTGATTCAACGATGCGAAGCCGTTCCATCAACTGTTTGCAAGCTCCTCGGTTTCTTTGTGCAAGTGTATTCTTTAAAGTCACTTCAGCCCAGCTGCTCATCTTCCAAGAAGATCTCAATGGCAGACTGCAGGTCTTGCACCTGTTCCTCAAGAACGCTGATGGCAGTCTGGCTCATCAAGCAGCTGTTGGCTTGCCATTGCAACCTCGAAATGAGCGTCAATCACACGCCCTGGATGGGCAGCGTAGACATGACACTTCCTGAACCGAACTTGACAAAGTCTCGGTTTCTAGCCGAGGCGCTCCTTTTCGAGTTTCTGGATTTGCTTTTGTGCACGTTCCAGTGTGCGCTCCACTTGCTCCCTGTCCACATCCCTGCACCTCACTCAACTGGTCAACTCGAAGCAGAGCAGTTGTGGACCTAGTGCAAGATTTCCGCAAAGGGCTCTGCAATCAGTATCTCCCCTGCTAAGCAGCACCGATCTATACGGTGCAGTGTCAAGACTTCAGGTCGAGAGGCCAGCGCACATTGGCACGGGGCAAGAAGTTGGAAAAGGTATGGATGGGAATTGCACGCCCAACGTCAGCCAGGTGCGGCGTGTGCTCGTCCTGCCAGAGCATCAGAGCAGACAACGTTTGCTAAGGCTGACAGCAGATCCTGCGTTCTCGGCCCGGCCTGTTCCCACTGGACGTCAACCCTTTGCTGATCCATTGGCATCCAATGGCCACTGCACAGCAGCACTACAGGCAGCGGCAGCTGGTAAGGATTCAGCCACCCCGACTGATCGGGCTGTGGAGCATACTGCTGTGCCCAGAGCGCTTGAGGCATCTCCATTCCGCAAGCACCATCATACCTTGAGTCTGCGTCTCAAACCCAAGAAGAGGTTGCATCGAACGCCGACAAAACGCAGAGTCGAGGAAGGAAGTGCAATCGAGGCTCTCAGCGTCCATGAACTGAGCACCGTTTTCATATCCCCAATCGCCAGCGTGCCGGCACTTAAAACGCGCCATTGCAGATGAGGGCAAGAAGGGGGGAATTTGGAGCTCAGAGTTCAGCTGACTGCTGCCCGAACGGGCAAATCAAAAGCTCTCGATGGTGATGCCTGCCTAGCTGAGATGAGGGGGAGCGAAGATAATACATACTGTAAGTTTCCTGGTCGTCCTAGGCCTGACTTAGCCTAACATGCAGGACTCGCCAGGTTGGTGACGTCGCTTGTTATCACTTGTGAAGGCATCAGATTTGAGAAACTGTAGCACTGTAGGATGTGCTGTGTCCCGAAGGATCCGAGCAAAGCTTGCCACAGAGCAATCGGCATGTTTTAACCATGTGGGCTTAAGAGGCTATGTGTACTGTTACAACGTTACTCATGCCCACAAAGGGGGAGTTGTCTCTCGAACCCTTTTTACCATCGATGTACTTGCAAAGGGTGTAATGGCTTCACCCTTCTATAAACACCACTCACCATTTTGACATTTAGGGAATCCACGGTCGACGGAAAAATCGGTAACCAGAACGATTGAATCGGTAACCAGAACAGCTGAATCAGAAACCGGCCATGATTCAGAAACCACACCATGATTCGGAAACTAGAACGGCTCACTCGGAAACCACGACGGCTGATTCAGAAACCAGACGCATCTTTCGGAAACCACAGGGCGCGATGAGGGAACGGTTGACAGGAACGTTGCAGGCCCAAGGGCCGAGCATGGGCTCCGATCTTGCCCACTCCAATGGGAGAAAGTATGTGCAGAGGCATAGGACCCACGCAAATATCGTTTCAATCCAAGCTTTACTACTGTTATTGCCATTACAATTACTATTTCTATTACTCTTACTATTACTCTTACTATTACTATTACTATTACTATTACCATTACTGTTACTATAATTACTATTACTATTACCATTACTGTTACTATAATTAGTCCTAGTACTAGTACTGGTACGAGGACGAATAAGAGGCACAGACCCACGAAAATATCGTTTCAATCCAAGTAATCTGCAAGAAAAACATTCTTGTGTTGGGATGATGTTTCAATGGACGTTATCATGGTCTCTTTTGCGGAACGCATGCATGCTGTACGCATGAGACGATGGACGTTATCATGATTGGGCCATGGATACTCAGATGCTCTGTGCTTAGAATGGACGTTATCACGGTTGGGCCATGGATGCTCAACGCACTATAATTAGACTAAGCCATGGACGTTATCATTGCCGCCCCCCCATCCCCCCCAATGGAGTCAGAATGCATCAGACAATGGACGTCATCATGGTTGGGCCATGGATGCGCTGGGCCCAGAACGCATTTGACCATGCCGTTATCATGGTTGGGCCGTGGATGCCGCCCTCTTCTCACCACCTCAGCATTGCTTCCAAGCTCCCGAGCCAGTCTCCAAACTCCAGCTTCTGATATGCGCCTCCGGTTTCTGACAGGTGGTGGTGGTGGTGGTGGTGGTGGTGGTGGTGGTGGTGGTGGTGGTGGTGGTGGTGGTGGTGGTGGTGGTGGTGGTGGTGGTGGTGGTGGTGGGGTGGTGGTGGTGGTGGTGGTGGTGGTGGTGGTGGTGGTGGCGGTGGCGGTGGCGGTGGCGGTGGCGGTGGCGGTGGCGGTGGTGGTGGTGGTGGTGGTGGTGGTGGTGGTGGTGGTGGTGGTTTTGGTGGTGGTGGTGGTGGCGGTGGTGGTGGCGGCGGCGGTGGTGGTGGTGGTGGCGGTGGTGGTGGTCCTGATAGTGACCATGCCAACAATTGGTGCTTTCGACTTTCACGGGCTGCACGGGAGCAGTGTCATTTTTGATGTGCATGGGCACTTGTAGGCAGACTTCAGGACCAGCGGCCATGAATCAGAAGCTGAAGGTCACGCTGGACTTCGGCGAAGGCGGTCTTCACGAGACTCCGCAGCTGCTGAATGGATTCTCTGTAGGTTTCTGTGGGGTTGTCATCAACCAGCCATAGCATCTTCAGCGGGCGGATAACTCGCTCTTCGGGAGCACTCTCGTCCATCAGCAGTTTGACCATAAGAGACGCCCACTTCTGACGCTGAAGCTTGCACAACGAACGCAATACCTTCTCGAGTGTCTGGACGCAATACCCTATCTGAAGCATTTTGGTGGATATGTCGGACTCGACGAAGTCTTCCAGAAGGGCGATCATGGCCTCTCCAATAGGGCGCTGCACCCAAGTAAGGGCACCACAAGCATAGCCCCCAACAACAATGCTGGCGGCGGTAGCAACGGTTGCATCCGCACTCAGACAGTGCCGATGCAAACTTTCTAGGTTCTTCTCAACAATGCGCTTAGCATCGCTTTCGGCAAAATGTGTCTGTCTCTCGGATGATAAGGCCATACACCAACACCGACCTTGGAGAGAAGAAGAGTCGGCGACAGCCGCTACAGCCGACTGATGCACTGCCGGAAAGACGGCATGCTGGCTGCTGATCTTGCTAAACAAGACAAGAGGCACTCGTACAGCTTCTGCTGCTTGGCATCGCCTCCGAAGGCTGCCGCGAACGATGTCTCCGGATTGCGGCCCCTCACTTCCGCCGTTTCCGCAAAAGCGACAACCGACGTGGGCCTGCCAAAAATTTGCAACATGGCACCCACATCGCGAGAGGCAACTTGCCAAGCCACATTCAGCAAAGCAGCTCCGCAACTGGATTGACTACGCATCAGGGTGCATCGAGGTCTTACAGTGCTCACACCTTGTTAAAACAGATGTGCTGTGCTGCGGGTCTTGCCCACTCCGTAGGAGCCTTCAGAACGCTGCTCGGATGTTCGCACTCGTCGTAAACAGGGGGAGTTGGGAAAATGCCTTTTCACCAAAGATGCGTCGTCCGTCTGGGTTGCTGCAGGAAGGGATGCTAGAATGTCTGCAGCTCGCAAAGAATGACGGACAGAACGGATTTGGTTTGATGAGCGTTCCAGAACCCTCCCGTGTCTGTCCATGCTGCCCATCTCTTCCAAGTGCTCTAGCAAGGCCTGGCAGCAGCACATGCACATCCTCAAGCAGTGGCCCAAGAAACGAAGCAGGCAGAGGAACGCAGAAGACTGCAGGCCTCGGGGCTTCTGGTGCGTCGCGAAACCAGGCGCCAGCTCAGCAACTCCTGCACCTGTACTGCACACAAAACCTACATGAACAACACCCTTTCTGCACGTTGTCGACAGCCCTATAGCATGCCCTAGCACTGACTGACGACCCTGCCGCTGGCCCGTTTGCAACCAAGCAGCGCTCAGATACGGCAGCAGGTTTGGCCTGAGGCTTGTTCGGCTGAGACGTTCCACGGGATCTGAAGAGAAATCGAAAGACCGTGCGAGCAGACCACGGACAGAAGCCCCGACTGAAGCCGAGGTGCACATGGAGGTCGTAGGGAGAGCATTCCCCGACGCGGACCTCGATGCCTTCGAGCGCCTTGGGCCGAGTCTGCGGTCCGACCTGGGCTCATCTTCTTCGACTCTGCAGGCGTCTGCGGCGTCCGTGGCATCAGCGCAAAGAGGCGTGTGTCAGGGAACTTGCCGTGGCCTTCAGACGCGGGGCGGTGCAGTCCTCGCCGCCTGTCTGGCACGCCGCATCAGCCGTAGACCTTGCAGGGCACGGCATGGTGAAGGAACAGCTTAAGGTAGGTCGCTGAGACTCGCTGGCAGAGGTCGACAGCCTCCCCTCGTCGATAGCGTGGCGATCGGCAGCCTCTGTCTGGGCCGAGGCCTAGGCTCAAGCCGGTACCAAAAGCTTGCAGACCCAAGTCACAATATACCACTTGCCTGCAAGCCTTGTATCTGGCACTGGTGAGGGACCGGAACTGGAACGAGCCCAAAGTCTAAGATGCAGAAAAAATTAGGACCAACTACGACCAGAATGCGGCCCTGAACCGCAGTCCCGGACGCCCCCTAGTCACTAGTCCACACCCCTGTCGCAAGCTATCGCTTGATAACAAGCTCAACCTTCCCACGGAAGCCTTTTCTTACTTGGCGAGCTTTCGTGACTTCCTCAGTGGGTCCGGGCTCCAAGCTGGCCGATCGTCACCGCATTGCTGCTCATCGTCGCAGGAATCCTGCTCGAGCTAACATGCAAGTGCTCAGGGCAACGCCAGCCTTAGGCAAACCTGAGAAGCGGCAGGGCAAGAAGCGCTCAAAGCTCTCTTCCGATACCTCTTCATCGTCGGAGGGAAAGCAGGTGCTGTCGTTGCTGCCGATGCTGATTCTTTGCCTGAGCTCGACGATGCCATTTCCAGAAACACCGAATTGGGTCCAGAGGGCAACTGAGAGTCCTGCTTTTTGGCAGGCTTTGCAATCGTTTCATCCTGGCGCCTCGGCAGAGTGCTGCAGGCACCCCCAACAGCAGGAAAACACTCATTGCTGCCCCAGGCTCTGCTCAGACCGGGGTGTCGGCGCAGCCAGATGGAAGCCGCCAGACCTGAGGAAGCGCATCAACAAGTGGGCCTCCCTGGCAAACTCAAGCGCTCGTTGCAAGCGCGGCGCGGATGGCCGTCCCGGTCGTTGGAGGCGCTGTCTTTGCAGAGCGGCAGCTGTGGCCGCGCCGCAGCAGTTGGAGGCGCGCCCTCCGTCGTCACTGGCTCCTGCCATCATGCGAAGAGTCTTGCGTGATGGTGGGGCAATGGCGCGTTCGACCGATGTATCGGTGCGACAGGTGAATTCTGGGGACATGCGGTGTGATGGGAAGAGCATCCAAAAGTTTGGATTCGATGAATAGCTTAGTCCTGCCCGCCTGTCACATTGCGCGATACCGTAAGTCGTAAGTCCTCAGGAGCGGTGCCTTCAAAAAAAACGCTGTCCTCGGCATCGCATAGGCCTGCCAGCGGTGGCTCCACTTTGCTGCACCTGTGCTCGTGCTGCTGGCAGGCATGTCAGGGAATCCATCCTCTGTCAGGCCTCTCCAGGGGAACTCCCATCTCAACTTTTTCTGAGAATAAGAACCTGGGGAGCACTGGCAAGCTATTGCCAGCAAGCTATTGGGGATTCCAATAGCTGGTGGGAATTCCAGTTTGCAGACTCTTGCTTTACAAAAAGCTACCGAGGATTCCAATGTGCAGTTTGCTGTTGTTCAGCAAGCTCTTAATTCGCCAGTTCTTTACCAACAAGCTAACGAGGTATTGCGGAATCTCGGACCTAGATTTGGCCCCTGACCCAGGAGCAAGACATCAGCCGAGGAGCTGATCACTTGCCTTGCAGCTGCAGAGCTCTTCCTGGTTGGCCAGATGCCTTAGTCCATGCAACCACCTAAAGCGGCATGCTCACGTGCTTGGCTTGTGCGAATGGACATCCGCTTTGTGGGGACAACATCGAGGAAGCTTGCATACATTGAAATCTGCGAGATGGTCGCAACAAGTCAGCTCCTGTCGAAGGCATCCGGATGTGACACAAATCATAAGCAAGTGTTTTTTAAAGTGTGAGGCAGGGGACGACCCGTCCGTTTAACATTCACAGGATCAAGAAAGGCGCTGTGCGAAGCAAACCTACCATCGGCAAGCCATGGCAAGCCTCACTGCAAGCTGGCTCATGTTGGTGGCAAAAGGATCTAAAGCGCATGCTCCGATTTACGTTTCATGAGATGTTTTCCAGGCACATGGCAGGGCACTATGCGGCAAAGCATTCCCAAAAAACACATTGAATTCCGCAAGCGGCGACAGCGGAGCAAAGCCCACACTGTCTTGAAAGTCACTTCGGCCCAGCTGCTCCTGTTCCAAGATCTCAATGGCAGACTGCAGGTCTTGCACCTGCTCCTCAAGAACGCTGATGGCAGTCTGGCTCATCAAGCAGCTGTCGTCGCGCATCTTTCATTTGTAGGGTTAAGGGGCTTTCTGAAAAGGGTACTTCTGGTAGTTGGATACCCATACGATAAAATACAAAAACATTCAGAAACACATACAAACTCTCGAAATCATACGATAAAGTTCGTTTTAATTCAAACCAGATTTGTCATTTTTGTGAATGACGGGGGCATGATATTTGTATTTTTATGTATTTTTATGTAGTTTTTTGATGTTTTTTGAATTTTTCTGATCTTTTGTGTATTATCATGAATTTTTCTGAATGTTTCCGAATGATTATGTATTTTTCGTATTTCCTGCATGTTTATTGTTGCTGGCTGGCTATTGAATGATTTGGAATGATTTCGTATGTTTCCCAATGCTCTCCGTAAGTGCCAGAAGGCCCTCTTTGGGAAGCACCCCTATCCTTAAGAAAGAATCTTGGCTTCCCATTGCAACCTCGGAAGGTGGGTCACTCGCGTGTGACACGCTCAGGACGGGCAGCGTAAACGCGTCACTTCCTGGACTTGACAAAGTCTCCGTTTCAGCCGAGGCGCTTCTTTTCCAGTCTCTGGATTTTCCTTTGCGCATTTTCCAGTGCACTGGGCCTGCTCCCTGTCCACATCACTGCACCTCACTCAACCGGTCAACTCGAAGCACAGCAGTTGTGGACCTAGTGAAAGATTTCCGCAAAGGGCTCTGCAACCAAGCACTGCCGCTGCACACCCTCTGCAAGCACAATCCTAAGGCAGCATGTCCCCTGCCAGGCCTCCTCGACCCCTCACACCCGTGCTATGCTACGCAGCACCGATCTGAAAGGTGCAGTTTCAAGACTCAAGGTCGAGAGGCCAGCGCACATTGGCACGGGGCAAGAAGTTGGAAAGGGTATGGATGGGAATTCCAAGCCCAATGTCGGCCAGGTGCGGCGTGTGCTCGTCCTGCCAGGACATGCATCGGAGCAGACAACGTCTAAGGCTGACGGCAGATCCTGCATTCTCGGCCGGGCCTGCTCCCGATGGACGTCCACACTTCGCTGGTCCATGGGCATCCGGTGGCCACTACGCAGCAGCACTACAGGCAGCGGCAGCTGGTAAGGATCCAGCCACCCCGACTGATCGGGCTGTGGAGCATACTGTTGTGCACAGAGCGCTCCAGGCATCACCATTCCGCAGGCACGATCGTACCTTAAGTCCACGGTTCAAAGCCAAAAGAGGTTGCCTCGAATGCCGACAAAACGCAGAGTCGAGGACGGAAGTGCAGCCGAGGCTCTCGGCGTCCATGAACTGAGCACCGTTTTCATATCCCCAATCGCCAGCATGCCGGCACTTGAAACGCGCCATTGCAGATGAGGGCAAGAGGGAGATAATTTGGAGCTCAGAGTTCAGCTGAACTGCTGCCCGAACGGGCAAATCAAAAGCTCTCGATGGTGATGCCTGCCTAGCTGAGATGAGGGGGAGCGAAGATAGTACATACTGTAAGTTTCCTGGTCGTGCTAGGTCTGACATTAACCAAACCTCCAGGACTCGCCAGGTTGGTGACGTGGCTCGTTATCACTTGTGCAGGTATTAGATACGGGCAATTGTCGGATGTGCTGTATCCCGAAGGATCCGAGCAAAGCTTGCCACAGAGCAATCGGCATGATTTAGTTGTGTGGGCTTATGGGGCTACTGTTACAAGGTTGATCATGCCGATCAGGGTTGAGTTGTCTCCCGGACCCTTCTAGCGATTCTAGCGTCGAAGTTTGCCATGAGTGTCATGGCTTCCCCCGAATATTAACACCCCTCGTCAGCCAATATGACATACTTCCTAATGATGATGAGGATGATACTGATGATCATGTACATGAAAAGTAAGTAAGAGGAGGACGAGAAGGATTATGAGGATAACGATGAAGGTGCCGGTGCTGGTGCTGGTGCGGTTGGTGCTGGTGCCGGCGGTCAGCGCGGTGTCGATGGCAACGATGGTATCGATGCTTCCGATGCTATCGGCGATGCCAATGGCGTGGAGCTGGGCCCGGTACAGGTGATGGCGATGGTGACGGCAATGGCACTGGTGGTGGTGGTGGTGGTGGTGGTGGTGGTGGTGGTGGTGGTGGTGGTGGTGGTGGTGGTGGTGGTGGTGGTGGTGGTGGTGGTGGTGGTGGTGGCGGCGGCGAAAGACGTTGACGACGAGATGGTGCTAGTGATGGTGATGGTGATGGTTGAAGGATCCTCCGGCCTGCAAGGGAGCACTGAGTCGCATTGGCTTTTGTAGGCAGATTTCAGCTGAAGCAGGACTGCATGTAAAGCCTGATCATGCGCTGCAGCCACAGATCTTCGGCGCCGGACTTCGCGAGAATCTGCAGCTGCTGTTCGGCTTCTGCATAGCTTTCCGTGGGAGGGCCATCAAGCGAAAAAACCAAATCCAGTCGTTGAATCACTTGAATTTTGATTTCTTCGGGGACACAGCGGCCCATGAGTAGCTTGACCAGAAGGGACACCCACTTCTGACGCTGAGGCCTGCTGAGTGAGCGCCATACCCGGGCAAGCACTTGGTTGCAAAACCCTATCGGTGACAAGTTGTCGCCCATGTTGGACTCGACTAAGTCTTCCATCAGGGCGAGCGTGGCAACCGCAGTTCGTTGCTGCACACAAGGGAGGAAATCGGATGCATAGTTCGAAACCACGAGCGAGGCGGCCCAAGCAACACGCGTGTCCGTACTCTGACCGTGCCTAAGCAGACTTTCGAGGTTGTCGCGGACGATGCCATCAACGACACTTTGAGCAAAATGGGTTTTGTTCTCGGATGCCAGGGCCATACACCACAACCGACCTCGGAGTGAAGCCGAGTCGGTGAAAGTCACTACAGCCGAGTGATGCACTACCGAAAAGAGGGGTATGCTGCCTTTGAACCATGCTCAACAAGACAAGACGCACTCGTATAACTTCTGCTGCTCGGCATCGCCTCCAAAGGCTGCCGCCAAGGATGTCTTCGGGTTGGTCGTAAAGGCGTCCACCAAAAAGGCGTCCAACTTTTCCGCGAAAGCGACGACTGACTCGGACCTGCACCGCATCGCGACGGGCAACTGACAAAAGCCAAACTCAGGGAAGCAGCTCTCTGACTAGATGTGATTACGCGTCAGGGTGTATGGAGGGAGGGAACGACAGCAAGCATACAGGACTGCTCAGACCACACCGTGTTAACGCATGTTAACACAAGAGCAGCCATTGCAGGAGACACGAACATGGAGAGCAATCGAAAGGTTCCTTTCCATCAGAAAGCTGCATCCGTCTCCGTGACTGTAGGAACGCATGTTACCGTAGCCGCTCCGGTGCCACGCAAGCAGCTTGGAAAGGGTTTCCGGCAGACTGTTGAGTGTGCCAGGACCCTCCCGCGCCTGTCCATGCTGCCCATCTCTTCCAAGTGAGTTAGCAAGGCCTGGCAGCAGCACATGCACATCCTCATGCGGCCCAAGAAACGAAGCAGGCAGCGGGAGGCAGAAGACTGCAGGCCTCGGGGCTTCTGGTGCGTCGCGAGACCAGGCGCCAACTCATCAACTCCTGCACCTGTACTGCACACCAAACCCTACATGAACAACACCCTGTAAAGCACGTTGTCGACAGCCCTGGCACTGACTGACAGCCCTGCCGCTGGCCGCTTTGCAACCAAGCAGCGCTCAGATACGGCAGCAGGTTTGGCCTGAGGCTTGTTCGGCTGAGACGTTCCACGGGATCTGAAGAGAAATCGAAAGACCGTGCGAGCAGACCACGGACAGAAGCCCCGACTGAAGCCGAGGTGCACATGTAGGTCGTGGGGAGAGCATTCCCCGATGCGGACCTCGATGCCTTCGAGCGCCTTGGGCCGAGGCTGTGGTCCGACCTGGGCTCATCTTCTCCGACTCCCTCTGCAAGCGTCTGCGGCGTCTGTGGCATCAGTGCAAAGAGGCGTGTGTCAGGGAACTTGCCGTGGCCTTCAGACGCGGGGCGGTGCAGTCCTCGCCGTCTGTCTGGCACGCCGCATCAGCCGTAGACCTCGCAGGGCACGGCATGGTGAAGGAACAGCTTAAGGCAGGTCGCTGAGACTCGCTGGCAGAGGTCGACAGCCTCCGCTCGTCGACAGCGTGGCGATCGGCAACCTCTGTCTGGGCCGAGGCCTAGGCTCAAGCCCGTACCAAAATTGGTTGCAGACCCAAGTCACAACATGCCACTTGCCTGCAAGCCTCGTATCTGGCACTGGTGAGGGACCGGAACTGGAACGAGCCCAAAGTCTAAGACGCACAAAAACTAGGACCAACTACGACCAGAATGCGGCCCTGAACCGCAATCCCGGACGCCCCCTAGTCACTAGTCCACACCCCTGTCGCAAGCTGTCGCTTGATAACAAGCTCAGCCTTCTCACGGGGGCCTTTTCTTACTTGGCGAGCTTTCGTGATATTCTCGGTGGGTCCGGGCTCCAAGCTGGCCGATCGTCACCGCATTGCTGCTCATCGTCGCAGGAATCCTGCTCGAGCTAACATGCAAGTGCTCAGGGTAACGCAACCTTTGGCAAACCTGAGAAGCGGCAGAGCAAGAAGCACTCAAAGCTCTCTTCCGATAGGGTCGCCGTCCTGGTCATTGCAGGCGATGTCTTTGCAGAGCGACAGCTGTGGTGGCGCAGCAGCAGTTGGAGGCGCGCCATCCGTCGCCACTGGCTCCTGCCATCATGCGGAGAGTTGTGCGTCATGGTGGGGCAATGGCGATTTGCAGCAGACATCACCAGCTCCGCGGATTGCTGAGGAATGCAGTGATGTATCGACTTACACACCCATGTCAAATTATGTCAAAATACCACAGTTGCCTTGCGTGCCGATTAATCAGGCACTTGTTCATCACTGGAACGAAAGCTACTGCAGGCCGCTCAAGTTTGAGCTGCACGAAACTTGGGACAGGAACCCCTCGAAAGCAAATATGAGGCTCTAAAGGGCAGGATAGCTCAGAATCGGTCACGACATGGTGGATCAGAAACATTCAGCCCAGGGCTACTGTAGCTTTCATTAGCTTTCGTGACGGAAGCTGTCATAACCATGCTTGAGCTCTTCGTCCTGCGCATTCACCCGTCGACCGGGTGAAACCGCAGCTCCAACCATGTCCTCAGGCCTGAGGAAAGGGCTTTATAGGTTGTAGCAGGTCGTATTATAGGAAGGTCCGGCACCCACGACACATTGGAGCAGGTTTAAGCACCCCACGCGTCGGGGCCACAAGGGAGGCGCTCGACGTCCAGGTGCGGGCCAATCGGCAGCCCAGGGAGCACAGCAGCAATCGGAAGCGCGCCCTCCGCTGCCATGCGCTCCTGCGATCAGTGACGACTGCCAGGTAAAATTGAAGTCATCTGCGTAAGGCCGCACCTAGTTTTTCGCCAAGTCCTGCAAAACAGGGCCTTCTGAAGGAAACCTTGTCATAAACGTCTGCCTACACTCGTCAACTACAGAGCCGTGCTCCACATCGCTGATGCTGCTTGAAGACTCCTCATCTGCAGCTCTCTCATCTGACGCATCTGGAAGAAGATCCTTTCAAGCTGCGCAGCTGTCGATGAATGCGCATGGCTCGCTGACTCTGCATCTAGCCTCCGGAGCCGGCCGTCCGTCAGAGTCGCAAGTGCTCGCCGTAGAAAGCCGCCTGGGGCGATTCGGGTTGCAAAGCAGAAACGACATTGAGGAAGCTTGCCTTCAAGTTGCAACCACAACAAGTCAGCTCCGCTCGAAGGCATTCGGGATGTGACACAAATCGCAAGCAAGCGTCTTGTTGTGCGAGGCAAGCAGGGGACATTCAAACATGTGTGATCATGAACCCAGCTAACGAAATTTGGGCTCGCAGATTCCCGCTGTTTCCGCGTCTGGAGCAACTACCTTGCCAGATTCAAAGGCGGCATTGGGGCTTCAGCAGGCACAGCACTGTCATCGACATCATCGGGCATCCGCCGCGTCTCACGTATGCACACCTGCATCTTGCTTTTGTGAAAACAAGATGGCAGGTCCGGCCGGTGCCGCTTTTCATAACGTGTCTGCACTACAAGTACCCTGTGGGGGGAGGGCTTGCTCACCGCTAAGCACTCCGGTAAAGGAGTAAAGATCCCGAATCCGCAGGTTCCAATCCAAGAGAAATGCAATGAATCCTGCCGAAGCGACCTTTGCCATTCATGGAGAGATTACGGCTCGGGCCTGTAAAAAATGTTCAGGGCACGGTTCCATAGTCTGGTAGTGCCTAAATGTGCTTCAGGATCTTAAGGTTTGTGTACGTCTGAGGTCTGGTCGTCTGGTCTGCGGTCTATGGTGCACAGGGGAAGAGCTTCCTGTCCCAATGCAATCCGCACCTCCCACCATTTTCGTGTGTCAGACAAGCAGTTTGTCCGTGAGCATTGGTTGATTCCACAAGGCGATTCCACCCTGCGCCCCGTTCCTGAGCATGCGGTCTTCTGAGAGCGCTGCTTTTCGTCAGGCTCTTCCATCGTCTGGGACCTCGGCAGCAGAGTGCTGCAGGCATCCCCAGTAGTCGCAAAACACGGATTGCTGCCCAAGGCTCTGCCCTGACCGAGGCGTAGGCACAGCGAGAGGGGAACTGCCGGACCCGAGGAAGCACGTCAGCAACTGGGCCAACCTGAGGCAGTTTGAAACGCCTCACAGATCATCGTTGCAAGCGAAGTGCAGATCGCCGTCGTGGTCATTGCAGGCGCTGTCTCTGCAGAGCGGCATTTGTGGCAGCACAGCAGCAGTTGGAGGCGCGCCCTCCGTCGCCACCGGCTCCTGCCATCATGCTGAGAGTCGTGCGTCATGGCGGGGCAATGGCGATTTGCAGCGGGCATCACCAGCTCCGCGGATTGCTGAGGAGTACAGTGATGTATCGACTTAGACGGTGCGACAGGTGAATTCTGGGGACGTGCTTGTCCTGGGAAGGGCATCTCAAAGCTTGGATTCGATGCATAGCTTAATCCTGCTCGCCTGTAACATTGCTCCATCAGGAGCCGTGTCCTCGGCATCGCGTAGGCCTGCCAGCGATGGCTCCGCTTCGCAGGACCTGTGCTTGTGCTGCTGGCAGGCATGTCAGGGAATCCATCCTCTCCAGGCCTCTCCAGGGGGAGCTTGCGAACCTCGAGCCTTGACAAAAGCGAGCATTTAGGTGTGCGACATCCGGTGGACGGTATGCTTCGACTGCCAAGCGGCTCGTCATGGCTCTGCATCGGCCCCATGCACCTTGGTGACTTACTGGCTCTGCCCGCGTCCCTGGCGCTCCTATCTCAACTTTTCTAAGAAAGCATTTTCGGGAGCCTAGGATGGCCCAGAGGCAGAGAAGTGTTCTGAGCCCTTGCTTTTTGTAATTCTTATTGCTTGACTTGTTTGTCCTTTCTTCTTGCGGGTGGTGCTGCCGCCCGCCGCGGGGCCTGTGAAGGAAACTACCGGGCCAGCTACTGGGAAACTGCAAGTTCTCAGCGACACCTCTCTGCAGCTGGGCATCTCCACTGTTGGGAGGGTCTCCGCCTCGCTAGCCAAAGCGTCACACCCAGCTTCCTGGCACTCGCACACGGCACGAAGGTGAGATGGAGGAAGGAAATACCAAAACAATCTATGCCATGATGTTTTTCTTGACAGCAAAACTGTCCTCTTCGCACCGCAGAACGTGCTCAGAGGCAACCGTCCTCTCAGTGCACTGGTTGCGCCTGAGTTTCAACTGGCGGTTTCACGCGGCTCAGGTGGGCAAAAGGATTTGAGCGCTTTTCTGTGGTTGGAGCTTCTCTTGGCGCTGACCTGCTGCTTGATCGGAGTTTTGGGTTGGCGGGTTAAAGCGCGCACTTCGCCACGAGAACCAGATAGACTTATGTTTCTTGTGATATGTTCTCCAGGCAAACGGCAAGGCCATATGTGGCAATGCATTCCAAACACGGAGCTGGAGTTCTGCAAGCGGCGAAAGCGGAGTCAAGCACAAACATCGTCTTTAGATTCCTGCTGCAAACACATGTCAAGCCCATCAACCGGCTCTCATTGCCCCGTTGATTCAACGATGCGAAGCCGTTCCATCAACTGTTTGCAAGCTCCTGGGTTTCTTTGTGCAAGTGTATTCTTTAAAGTCACTTCAGCCCAGCTGCTCATCTTCCAAGAAGATCTCAATGGCAGACTGCAGGTCTTGCACCTGTTCCTCAAGAACGCTGATGGCAGTCTGGCTCATCAAGCAGCTGTTGGCTTGCCATTGCAACCTCGAAATGAGCGTCAATCACACGCCCTGGATGGGCAGCGTAGACATGACACTTCCTGAACCGAACTTGACAAAGTCTCGGTTTCTAGCCGAGGCGCTCCTTTTCGAGTTTCTGGATTTGCTTTTGTGCACGTTCCAGTGTGCGCTCCACTTGCTCCCTGTCCACATCCCTGCACCTCACTCAACTGGTCAACTCGAAGCAGAGCAGTTGTGGACCTAGTGCAAGTTTTCCGCAAAGGGCTCTGCAACCAGTATCTCCCCTGCTAAGCAGCACCGATCTATACGGTGCAGTGTCAAGACGTCAGGTCGAGAGACCAGCGCACATTGGCACGGGGCAAGAAGTTGGAAAAGGTATGGATGGGAATTGCACGCCCAACGTCAGCCAGGTGCGGCGTGTGCTCGTCCTGCCAGAGCATCAGAGCAGACAACGTTTGCTAAGGCTGACAGCAGATCCTGCGTTCTCGGCCCGGCCTGTTCCCACTGGACGTCAACCCTTTGCTGATCCATTGGCATCCAATGGCCACTGCACAGCAGCACTACAGGCAGCGGCAGCTGGTAAGGATTCAGCCACCCCGACTGATCGGGCTGTGGAGCATACTGCTGTGCCCAGAGCGCTTGAGGCATCTCCATTCCGCAGGCACGATCATACCTTGAGTCTGCGTCTCAAATCCAAGAAGAAGTTGCACCGAACGCTCACAACACTCAGAGTCGAGGAAGGAAGTGCAACCGAGGCTCTCAGCGTCCATGAACTGAGCACCGTTTTCATATCCCCAATCGCCAGCGTGCCGGCACTTAAAACGCGCCATTGCAGATGAGGGCGAGAAGGGGGGTACTTTGGAGCTCAGAGTTCAGCTGAGTGCCGCCCCCGATCAAAAAGCTCTCAATGGTGATTCCTGCCTAGCTGAGATGTTGGGGAGCGAAGATAGCACATACTGTCAGGTCCTTGGTCGTCCTAGGCTTGACTTAGCCAAACATGCAGGACTCGCCAGGTTGGTGACGGCGCTTGTTATCACTTGTGAAGGCATCAGATTTGAGAAACTGTATCATTGTAGGATGTGCTGTGTCCCGAAGGATCCGAGCAAAGCTTGCCACAGAGCAATCGGCATGTTTTAACCATGCGGGCTTAAGCGGCTATGTGTACTGTTACAAAGTTACTCATGCCCACAGAGGGGGAGTTGTCTCTCGAACCCTTTTTACAATCGATGTACTTGCAAAGGGTGTAATGGCTTCACCCTTCTATAAACACCACTCACCATTTTGACATTTAGGGAATCCACGGTCGACGGCAAAATCGGTAACCAGAACGATTGAATCAGTAACCAGAACAGCTGAATCAGAAACCGGCCATGATTCAGAAACCACACCATGATTCGGAAACTAGAACGGCTCATTCGGAAACCACGACGGCTGATTCAGAAACCACACGCATCTTTCGGAAACCACAGGGCGCGATTAGGGAACGGTTGACAGGAACGTTGCAGGCCCAAGGGCCGAGCAGGGCTCCGATCTTGCGCACTCCAATGGGAGAAAGTATGTGCAGAGGCATAAGACCCACGTAAATATCGTTTCAATCCAAGTTTTACTACTGTTATTGCCATTACTATTACTAGTACTTTTTCTATTACTTTATCCTTATAAGCCAATCCTTTCAAATGTAATCTCGAAAAAGGAAAACTTCACAAGTGAACTATTTCGGTACATCAAAGGAATATCGAACATGACTGATGAATATATTCATTCACCATATGGGATAGCATGCAGAGAACACTCGCGCACTGCAACGATTGTTTTCAGACGGGGGATGGCACAAGTCGCATTCAATACGGAACAGACCGTACAAAGAAAGTTGGTTACCCATGACGGCCAATGCACATCACGAGCAACTAGGCACAAAACTCACGACGGCCAATGCCCATCATAAGCGGTGCCACATTCCCCCCCCAGGGTGGGAGGGCGGGTCAAAATTTTCACATGTGAGCTCTGCATACAGAGCCAAAACCTTCAGCGGAGCATTGTTCCATCAAACAACAATTGTACCAAATTTGAAGAAAAGTAGTCCACATACTTGAAAGCGCGTCCGACTACTTTTCAAAATAAAATCCAAAACATGCCTAAGAAGACAGGATTCATGAGGCATGCCCAAATACATTTGTGCACCGGAAGCACCATGACCACTTTCACAAAAGTGTGGGAAAACGATTACAAAGAAAGGACGGTGAACATATCACCTGTTGGCAAAAGGATAAGAGGATGTCACGAACGTGAGATTGTCTTTATCCTTATAAGCCAATCCTTTCAAATGTAATCTCGAAAAAGGAAAACTGCACAAGTGAACTATTTCGGTACATCAAAGGAATATCGAACATGACTGATGGATATATTCATTCACCATATGGAATAGCATGCAGAGAACACACGCGCACAGCAACGATTGTTTTCAGACGGGGGATGGCACAAGTCGCATTCGTTACGGAACAGACCGTACAAAGAAAGTTGGTTACCCATGACGGCCAATGCACATCACGAGCAACTAGGCACAAAACTCACGACGGCCAATGCCCATCATAAGCGGTGCCACATTCCCCCCATCCGAACACACTGCGCATGGCTGCCTAAGACACTACCAAGGTCGGCTGAATCCTTCGGAAACATTCCTCATATTCCCCAAAGCTCAACCTGGAGGCAGCGTCGGAAAAATTGCTCTTGGACGGCACCCGGCAATACCACGGAAAACAACCGAGCTCGACATCAAGCTCCGCAATGTCAGACAACATGTGAGCGGCATCCAGCAAAGGAGAATAATTTCTGATCAAGGCCGCCTTCGCTGCCTCGTTGTCCACGAAGATCAGAACCTTTATCTTGAACCCAGAGCCGCACAAAACTTACACAAGTCTGAACAGCAGAACGTTGCAGGCTTCACTCACAAACGCACTCGCGCACACAACACTCTTTTCCGTCGGTAGCAAGGGAGCACTCTGTGTTTTGTCGCAGCAGGTGCTGCGACACTCGCTTTGTCATCTCAGTTCGAGATTTCAAGCACTAAGTATTCGCCTTTGGCGACACCTAAGCCTACAGGGTTGGGACTTAGAGGGGGTGCACTGCCACGGCGGGCCACGGGTGTGCACACCCCTCCCTACAGGGACCTACAACAAACTTCCCAGGGCGGCGTGGGTGGGCAAGAAAAGTTTCCTCTCACACCTGAGAGCCAATCTGCATATGCCAAGCGCCATCAGATCAGACAGCATGTGGGGCCCGAAGTTTTTCGAAGTGCGGCACAATTCAAAAACATATTTTGAATGTTAAGCGGTCATGAATAAGACGCTATCTCGAGGCGAGACGGCACGTTTATTCTTGAACCCAGAGCCGCACAAAACTTACACAAGTCTGAACAGCAGAACGTTGCAGGCTTCACTCACAAACGCACTCGCGCACACAACACTCTTTTCCGTCGGTAGCAAGGGAGCACTCTGTGTTTTGTCGCAGCAGGTGCTGCGACACTCGCTTTGTCATCTCAGTTCGAGATTTCAAGCACTAAGTATTCGCCTTTGGCGACACCTAAGCCTACAGGGTTGGGACTTAGAGGGGGTGCACTGCCACGGCGGGCCACGGGTGTGCACACCCCTCCCTGCAGGGACCTACAACAAACTTCCCTTATTAGCCTCAAATTCAAAGAAAATCTTTTCCACTATTTCTTCAACATCGGGGTGCACTTGACAGTCTTGCGACCGACTGTGACGTGATGACATTTCCTTCTTGAAGGGTCGTCTGCAGGATTTGAAGGGCTTGGGACCCTCTGATACCACGAAGCAATGCCCGCACTTTCTTCATCCTTGAGAAGCACCTGCAACAGGGCCTTGATGACAGCGGCGCGGCCTGACCCAGAGATGCAAACGTCACGAGCGCAACTGTTGTCTACAAAGAATACAGTGGGTCGCCCCTTCAGGGCCGGCAGCCATAGCCTCATTCCACAAAGGAGGGCTAGAAGCTCGGCGGGAAAGATTATCGTCTGTTGAACCTGCGCACCAAGAAGGTCTTGATGCCGAGCGCATAGGGAGTGAGAGAAGGACCCGATAAGATCACCTCGATGATTGAACAAGACACCGCCAATGCCACACTTCCAGTCCGATGCCGAGGGCTCAAAGCAAGCATCGGTGAAAACAAACATCGGTTCCTGTCGCATGACCTGCACCAGTCTAGGAGAAGCTTCCTTGAGGACCCCGCAAAACCCCTGAAGCGCATGAAGAAGATTAGCAGGCACATTTGGAGGCAGATCGCCGTAAGCAAAATCAGTGAGATGCTTGAGGCAAACCTTGGCCAACCTACCGAAAACCTGCCCACAAGCAAACTGCATCCTGCCACGGAGTTTTAGTGCTGCACTTTTGGTCAACGTACCAGCGTCCATGATCGCACGGATAGACGTGCATAACTCGTTGGTGCGGGACTCAGTGTTGCACAGCTCCACACGGCCCGAAGGGAAACTGGCAAGGGACAGCCGAACGCCCAATGCTGTTACAAGCTCACCAAACGGCTCGGCTTTCGAACCTTCCCTCGCAAAGGCCCACCCAAGGAGAGTGAAGAAGATTTGGATTGAACTGTTGGTATTGCTCGCAAGGCAGGATTCGGAGACACAGTCATAATATGCAACATACGAAGCCCACGATGATGAGGGATGGACAGGGACTTGCCTATAGGCTGCTTGTAGGTCGTAGGCACGACCCACGAACTTTCTTCCAGGAAAGGCCCTCATGGACTGAAGGGTATTGCGCAGAGCACATCGGCGGTATGCGGCTTCGGTGATTCACCAGCCCCGACAGACTCATTGACATGCGAAATTGAGAAATCATCGATGAGGCGGGGTTTTCCAGAAGCTTGTGGCAGGCCAAAACGTTTGCTTATGATGGCATGTTCTGGCAGGTCCTCAATCTCAAAGGGGCCTACAAGCCAACCCTTTTGCACTTCCTCCACCGTCTTCTGTTTCACGATCGCATCGATCTCACTTCCTTGACTGGTGACCTTTCCAAGCACATCCTGCTGGATGACCTTCGCCTTTGCTTTGAGTTCGGCCTCAGTCATAGAAGCATGCCGCTCCGCCGCATTGAAGATCCCAGCGTGTGGAGCATCCCCGGTCAAGCTGACTCCACTGACGAGCTCATTGAAGGCATCTAAATCCGGGTAACCATATTCTTGCAGGAGGCTCTTAAAGAGGAGAAGGCGTTTAGGGGCTAGGACGGCTAGGATCGGTCGAACCTCGGGGTGAAGGGAACTTTTAAAGGCTTTCTCATTTTTCTCAAGGTCCTTTGCCCTGCGGGACCACTCCTTGAGCACCCTTAGCCTATGTGAGGCAAGATTTTTGGGAGTCATTTTTGAAGAATCCGTAATCGCATCCTGCAGCTCCTGCGGGAGGTTCGCTTCGAGCAGGGAGGGGTGGCCTGCAGCCACTGCGCAGTCTACAAACTCAGATGGCGAGAAAGGTATCCCCCACGCAAGTTCAAGCACCTTCCCAGAACTTCCCTCCTTAACCTCAACATCAAGCAAGTCACTCCGAAGAAGTTGGGAATACTTCGGAATGGAAGGCCAGGCACACGTGCATGATGTCGGCACCGCCCAGTCAGCTTCAAGGCGTTGTCTGAGGACACAGGGAGGCTGGAGCAGTTGGGCCGGGCCTCGAACAACGATGACAGCACGATGTTCCGGTACCAAGGGTACCGTCTTGCTGGCTTTGGGCTGTATACCAGTGGCGGCGCGCAAGGCCGCATAGTCCACAGGTGACGGGCGGGCGCATTGCCCAACCTGCAAGGGCAAGGGGAAGGAGAGTTGCAGGAGGCTGTTGCACTGGTCAGACGTCAAGAGGTCATAGCCTTTCAAGGTGTAGCAAGACAGGATCACACGATCACCCTGCCAAGGTTCAGTAGAGTGCAAACTCGAAGCAGCATCCAGCTGCACAGGGCCTTTATCAAGGCTCAGCACTTTGCCAGGAGTGTTAACCCCAGCAACACGACGGCAGACGGCCCCTCGGGGGCACTGCACCCAGATGCCCCCACCTGCGAAAGCAGAGAGGGCCAGCACATGACTGGCCACCGGTTCATTCTGCAGGTCACGGTGTGCAGGGGAAGCGACATTGTCAAGTATGGCAAATGCATTGTAAGAAGCTGTAGGCACAGCATGGGCCATGAACGCATTGATGGCAGCGACAGACAAGGGGAATTCCCGACAGGATTTGCGAAGGCCCGAGATGCCATTGCCTTTGCGGTACATGCCAGCATAAAAGGCGCCCTGAGGGTAAGGGAGCTCTTCAGATTTCGCGGTGTGGGGAGGTTCTCTAGGCAGCAACCGTACAAGAGCAAGGATCGCATCACGAGAGATGACCGCTTGTTTCAAGAGGCGAGCTGCAAAAGTTTCGGCATCACAAGTTACAGCCTCGGGCTCAACTTCGGCAGAAGGAGCTGACGACAAGGCCACACTAAGTGTTTCATCATCGGAGTCGGACAACTAAGTGTTTCATCATCGGAGTCGGACACATGCACAACATCAGTAACACTGGAATTCGCAGGGATTATGGCTCGAGGAGCACCTGAGCCTTCACCGCCCTCGGGCACCGAAGGAGCCGAAGGTTGCGCGGACGGGTCATGGGAGGATCTGAAGTTGGATTCACTCTCCCCCACCCCGCCGATGTTTCAATCCTTGTGCTGCACGATCGGGTGCGGCTGGAAACACTTGCAGCACAGATGCTTGCGTGGGCAGGTGGCAGCGTCACACTTGCACTTGTCCCCTTGAAGGTTGTACGAGAAGCACAGCTGGTCACCTTGCGGCGTGCAAGCAACGCCACCCAACTTAAGGATCTCCCGAGGCACTAAACCCCAACCAGCCTGACTAGGGTACCCTTTAGGGTTCGCCAATTTCTTACCCTTACCTTTCCCTGGGGCTTTGTTGTCGTCCTTGCCATCCTTGCCTGCACCTTTGAACCTTTTGCGGGGCTCCCATTTGGACCCACTTCGTAGCGGCATAAGTCCGAAGGACACTTCATAGCTCTCCAAGGCTTGCATAAGCTCTGAGTCCAAGGGGAAGGCCCCGGTGGCATCCTTTCGTGGCTTCACACCTCTCTCGATGAGCGTGGTCCAGACCAGCTTATCGGCTTCGACAAGCTGCGCCACAGAGGTTCTTGCATGGTTCGGGGGCGGCTCGCGATGGATATGCGAGAACAATTTCGAGAGGTACCTCGAATATGCATCAAAGGACACACTCTGGCTAAAGACATATGCAAGGCCTCGCCGAAGGAAGGCCTCCTGCACCTGAAGCGCGGAGTGTGAGGGCATGGTGAGCTCATCCTCCTGATTCTTTACCACAAGATGATTGGCATCTAACTCAAGCTGCCTCGGAGTCTTCTTGTGATTCGTGACTTCAAAGGTCCTAGAGATGCAGCGGTCTGGGCTGATGTACTTAAGCTGGCACGCACTTTCTTGGCTCGCACACTCATCTAAGAGGGCCCGCCCTGGCTCCGTTGGCCCCTCAATGAGAAGCCCAGGTAATTGCTTCCGCAATGAAGCTAAGCGCTGTTCGCGCTCAGCCTCCGGAACCTTCTTTGATGATCCATCAGGGTCGTTAATCTGCTGTCGCAAATCAGCAAGCACTAAAGTCTGAGCCTCAAAAATGAGGCGACGGAGACAAGCTGAGTCGGCCCCCGATGCGCGGGGGATGGTGTCCTTTACGAATTGATTGAACGCCTCGTCTGGGATGATCTGACCAGGCTGCCCGACACTATATGCCAGCTGCCCAAGGGTCACGAACCCCTGAAATTTGAGACTCTTGAAGGCCACTTCAGAGAACTTCACCTCGGCAGCACGCTTGTCCAGGTGGGCTTCACTCTCGAGGAGGGAAGTCATGACACTTCGAATCTAGTCACACTACAGCAACTAGACGAATGGCTCCAGAAATGTTGTTGAGTGCATACATCATGACATGAAGCATTCAGCTACTTGTACAATCCCACAATGGAGAATTGTTGAGGCCTTGCCTCTGACCCCTTGGTCTTGAGCCCTTGCTCTGTCCGTCACCATGTGACTCAAATCACTGTCTTCCTTGACACATGTCAGAAACTGCAAGCTCAGCACACAAGAGAGAAACACACCTACAGACGCAAGCACGCGCAGCCCAAGCAACTTTCTTCCTCAGCAGTGACCCTTGTCACAAGTCCATATTGTGGCCATTGCCACTGGGGTTCAAGAACCCTTGTTCTTGCGGCACGTACTGCATACCGGCCCGGATGGCTCTCCCTTATCAGAGAGAACGTACATGTGACTTCGCTTTCGGCCACACATCAACATGTTGACACCATACGTCCAATGCCACACGTGCGACCGCTTGTGCACGACCCACTCTCCACCCTTTTCCGAAAGGATGAGTCTTTGAGACTCGGCCTGAGGACGCCTCTTGGGTGCAGGAGGGCTGCCGCTGGAAGAATCGGAGCTATCAGAATGGCCTCCGCTGGACTCTTCCGAACTTGAGGACTCCGAATCACTGGCCTCCGACTCAGACTTGACCTCCACAGAAGGGATCAACGGCTTCGACACTTTGGCTCCAGCAACGGTTGCGGGCGGCGATGGTGGGAACCGCCACATATCAGCACGGCTCGCATCCGGCCTAAATTCTTTGTCCCGCACCTGCCTCAAGATGCCTTCCAGCTGCTTCACAGCTGGAAGCCCGAGCTCAACACTGTAAATGGCCTCAGAGCTCTCAACGGATTTTGCATGCCTGCCAAGAATGGCCCTAGACTCACTAGACAAGCCGGCCTTGCTCGACCAAGCGAGCATTGTGCGTTTGAGACTCTGGGATGCAATGCGAGAGACCCCGTCATGGCTCGGCACAACTAACTTCAAGAAGGCAGAAACTTCCTCTGATGTGATTCCCCGCCGGGCCAGCCTACCCTCGACAAAATCAATCGGAGGCCGAAACACAGGTCCACCAATGTTTCCCTCCAGACTAAGGCCTATGGCCTATGTCCTCCATGGCACGCCGCGCTGTCAAGAACCACTCTTGATCGTCGATGCCACAGACTGGCATAAGGATGGGCAGCATTTGCGACAACCTTCGAGCAGCTCGCGCAGTTTTGTGCTGACGCGTGTAAAAGATGACGTATCCCTCAAGTCCTGAATCTGAGATATCCACTTCAACGTAGGACACTTTTGCCAGGTCGCTCTGTCTGCAACGGGCACACAAGCAAATCAAGATGTATGCAACAAAAGCCTTATCGAGCTTGGAGACAAGGCCACTATGCAGCATGTGGTGCAGCTGCAGCACCTGTTGCACTAACAAAGGCGCCGACTGGCGCACTGGCGCAGCGTGCCTCTTTCAGCAGACATTTGTTCTGCAAGGCCCACACATCGCCGTGACGGCGAGCCGCAGATTTTTGTGAGATCCATGACATGCCAAGCAAACCTCACTGCACAAAGGAAAGATGATCCTCTCGAAGCACTTGCACGACTCGTCTTGAGGAACTGCAGATAGCCCCAGTAAGCTTCATCAGTGAACATGGAATCACTGCTACCACGCACCGTGTCACACCACCTGACGAACTGGAGCATGGACCCTGCCCTGGCAAGCACAGTACGTACTGACCGAGTGCCCATCATTGCCGAGATCTCCTCGTCCGAAGGCCGAGGCAATTCAAATACGTCCGAATACCTCAAACCAATGACATGCCACTTTGCGATACGAGCGTTCATAAGTTTAATCTGCTTCTTCTCGAAGTCATCGTCGTCAAGCATTCTGATGGCCTGTTCGGCGGCGTGGCCTGCCTTGAAGTCGAGGCTAGGATGTACAGGCTTCGCGGCACTTGCACTGCTACTTGCATCGGGCAGATACTTCGCAAACTCGGGAGGGGACAAGTCGGCAAGGCCTAAAGAGGGTTTCTTAAGCTCAGGCAGGGGCTCGGACAAAGGCTCAAAAATGGTCTTCATTAAGGGAGTCTCCCAAGGCAACAGCAAAGAAGGCGAGGCGCTGGGTTGCGACAGCCTGCTGAAGGCGTGCACAAAGGCAAGCCCCATGTTCGTAGTGCATGTACCACTCTGGCCGTCTGCATCAACGTCGACGGAGTCAAGATCCCTCGAAGAGCCCAAAGCCGAAACCCCCGAATAGCCCGAAGAGCCAATCCCTGCGCCCATCATGCTCAAGGAGCTTGCAGCCTCACCGTCGGACTCGCCGTCCCCGCGGTCGGGAGGCTCGGGACAGTCGTCCCCCGGCCAGACAAAGCCCTGCTCACCTGCAAGCTCAGCATCAAGCTCAGCATCACTGTCGCCCCAGTCGGGCGAGTCAGGTAGGTCGCTTCTCATCGGGAGAAGTTACTGCAAAATGACAACCACAACTCTCCCCTATTGTCCTTCTTGCCGACACGCTCAATCCTCAAGAGAGTAATCCGAGGAGTCGCTAAAACCTGCAAGAAAAGTTTCCTCTCACACCTGAGAGACAATCTGCATATGCCAAGCGCCATCAGATCAGACAGCATGTGGGGCCCGAAGTTTTTCGAAGCGCGGCACAATTCAAAAACATATTTTGAATGTTAAGCGGTCAAGAATAAGACGCTATCTCGAGGCGAGACGGCACGTTTCTGTTACGCAGGACTTTAGCCCAAGTCCGTCTCGCAATCAAGACAGGATAAAGTTCTGCAAAGAAGATGAGTTGAGTCCTGCCGGAGCTTCGCCACTTCTCCACGAGGTTCGCGGGGATGTGGCCCCCAAACACCTCCCGAGTCTGCGAGGCCGGGTCAATGATGACCGCCCCATGCGTCACCTGGTTTCCCGTTTCCTCACATGCCCCGTCCGTGAAGATGACCACGGGCGGCTGCTCAGACCACAGGTTTACCTGACGATCCCCAGCAGCCCTAAGGCTTACCTAAGGGTTTCCAGCGCCCTCCGGACAGATTCCAAAACGCGGCTCTGCAGGTCAGGACCTTGCTGCCGCTCGGCATGGTGAATCAACTGAGTAGCCACCTGGGCACAGCGACCGAACACATGCGAAGAAGCAAACAAGAGCTTGCCCTTCAAGGACGGCAGAGAGCGCGCCCCACAGGTGGGGTCAGAGGCGAGGCGATCCACCATGTCAGAAATCTCCTCCAAGCGCCCCGCCTTATTCCTAACCCTAATCAGACCCCTGCCAGCATCTTTGAAGGATAGCACGGCACCAAGCATGGTGAACTCCGAAGCGAAGGGTTTCAGCTTCTCACCGTCAGACACTTCCCAGCCAAGAAGGTCTAGCATTTCAAGTGCCGCCTGATCCGCAGAATCGGTCAGACCCTCGATTTCAAGTTGGCAGAAATCGTCAAAGAACGACGTATTCACAAGGAACAGAAGTCTAGACATGATAATGCGCAATGCTCGGGCAGCCCTGTTAAAGCCTGTCACCGCGCTCGATGCACCGAACGGGAGAGCATAATTCTCAAAATAGGCCACAGTGTTTGTGTCTGGGTCCAGGACGCCTAGCACCGAAGCCCAATCGTCGGCTGGGTGACGAGCTAACTGCTTGTATGCGCTTCGCAAGTCAAGAGCTCTGCCATTCAAGCGTCGTGCCCGGCCCTCTCGAAAATCAGGATGCAATCGGCCTTGATAGACACCGCCGCCTGACAAGGGAAGTCTAAACACCTTGGTGACCTTGGTGCCAGCCACGGTGGCTCCTAAGTGGAATCGCGCAAGGGCCACAATGTCATCAAGGCCTTCAAGCTGAATCTTCTCAGTCTCAGTCACCGAAGCATTCACCTGAAACTGGGAAAGATCGTCGACAGCACGAACCTTGTCACCCTGGGATACCCCAAAGCGCTTGGATGCCACCCAAGTACCACCGTACTTCTGATCCATTTG